CCCCCCCCCCCCCCCCCCCCCACCAGCAGTGCAATCGCCCGCACCTGGAACGCAGGCACATTAGTGCCTGCGTTTCCGGACCAGTGCGATCTGCAAAAATACTGCAAACGCTATTTGTGCCTGCATTTTGGTGGGGGGGAAAGGGGGGGGGTAGTGGCTTCGGTGCCATTGACTTCAATGGACTGCCACGGCCCCTCCTGCCCCTGAAAACAGGGAGCCGGCAGGCTTGCGTTCCAGGGGCCGAACGCACTGGAATTGAGCAAATGGAACTACTTCAAAAGCGGATACCATCAATTCTATCACTTGCATGCGACGGTGAGACTTACGTTGCCAAACCTGACTCTGTGCAGTTTTGTCAACTTTTCATTAAGCAGCTAGACCTTAGCTTGAAAGATATAAAGAAGGTCCAAGTACGCCAAGCAATCTGATGTACTTAGAGATGACCTCTCCAAGTTCAAAATCAATCCAAAGTCTGTACCGCAATTGACACAGAGTCTAAAGTCTGGAGAAAGGTCTGTTTGCACAAAAGCAAATCGTCCAGATATCCAATGACTGAAATACCTCTGAGGCCAATAAGACCCAGAACTGGTATAAAGACCTTTGTGAACACTTTTCGGGGTTGAGGCAAGGCCGAAGGAAAGGGCCACAAACTGATAGTGATTGTCTCCATGGCAAAGTGAAGAAATCACTGATAACCTGAAAAGATGGGAATATATAAAATATGTATCCTTTATGTGAATGGATGCCAAGAAGTCTTTGCAATGAACTGTCCAAATAAATTCAATCCAATTAAGGGGTGAACAAAGGTATTAAGCCTTTAACTCCAAGATAGAAAATTTTCTGACGTTATGGCTATTTTACCAGAGCCATGATCTATGGATTTCATGCAGTATTTGCTTAGATGCTGAGCCCTGCTGTATAACAGGCAGTATGACCATGTGTACAATTCGTTCTATGAATCTTACACTGTGGGGAACACATATGATTTAGCATAAAATATTTTCCTAATTTGAACCTATTCAGTTAGCAGTTTCTCTACCTGTGTTGTATTTTACAGTTTTAAAAAAGATTCCCCTTTGAAGTGCAACTGCACTGTAAGTGATCCAGCATTGCTCACTTTGAGGTAGGTTTGCCTTAATTTAAACCTATCATGAAAACAAAATATGGCTGCTACCTTTGCTGATCTCTTTCTGAAAGTTCTATTTCACTTCACTGGCTGTTATTTTGATACTCTGGCATCAATATTTTACAAGTCAGTAACCCAAAACAAGTGTGCAGATATGGAAAATCTTATCTGCATAATTGCTTTATGGGAGTGACTCAACGTAATCAAGTATCAGCAGGACAGTCAAGCAGCTAGCATTTTCATGGCAGCAATGGCAGCCTCCATGTTTCTCTTCTGATAGTATTCTTTTAAAGGATGTAAAATTTACTCCTCTCCGTGATGCTAGCACATCATTTCTAAATCTGGCCATAGAGAGTGGAAGAAAGTCCCCAACCCGTCCAACATCAGCTGAGACAAGTGACAATCTTGCACATTTGGAGGTAGCAGATGCCCAGTGCAGGTGGGAGTGACAGATCAGACAGGTTGGAGGACCTTGTTCGATAGTGATTGCTTCCCCCCTAAGCATATATAGTGATGTTAGCTGTGTGTGCATACCGACCTTCTACCATCACAATTCAGGTAAGTGTTTATGATTGGGCTGTCCATCATACATGTTTAGGGGATCATGGGTCAACAGACATTAGATGGCAATTGTTTCAGGCCCTTTAGGTGTCACCCCACAGAGTCAAATGTTTTAAAAAAATGTACACACCTGTTGAAAGTACATCTGTAATGGCACTACCAGCTCAGGATTTTGCTCCATTGCTTGAGCCAGCATCTTGTTGACAGACCTGTTGAAGTCTCGCAGATCCCGTACATTAATATCTTGTTCATCTTGGGTTTCTCCCTTGCTTTTTTTGGACAAACGAATTTCTTTTACCAGTTTGGAGCACTGTGAGCAAATAATGCAAGTAAATAAATGTTACATAAAATGCCTATTTAGGTCTTGCATCTTCTTATACTACTACTACTTAAAGGAGAACTATGGGGTCAGGGCTTTTCCCCATAGTTCTCCTTAGGGTAACGGGAGGACACAAACTAGCGTCCTCCCGTTACCCTAAGCTCAGTATACCGCGAGCTGTATACTGAGACGCCGCAGCGGATCCCGACATCGATGTCGAGATCCGCCCAGCTGCGTGAGTGACAGCTGGCTCGGCCTATCTAGAGGCAGAGCCAGCTGTACCCTCCCCCGTCCGTTCCGCCAGTCAGCGCTGGCGGATTGGAGCGGGGAGGGGGGAATCCATCCCCTCCCCTGTCACGGCAGAGAGCCGTGACAGGATCGAGAGGTGAGCGAACGCTGGTATGTGTTCGCTCACCTCCCGATCTACTGAGCCGACCTGTGACAGTCTCATTGTCACACGTTGGCTAGAACTATGAGGTGAGTGGAAATCACTCATCTCATAGTTCTCCTTTTAAAGTGACAGTAAACTAAGTAGTTGAATCTTAAGAATGCATTAACCTCTTCATGACTGAGCTTGTTTTTAGTTTCTGTTCGTAAATGACTGACACACTTTTACATTTTTGCTGTGTGATTTCTTTCACATCAGTAATATACTTTCTTACTAAGTGCACCCACACATATTATATATTGTTTTTTAGAGGACAGATAGAGCTACATATTTATATCACATATGTGTACCTAACGCCTCACTTAGGACAAATAAAATATTAAAATTGAGGAAAAACAAAACACTTATCCCCCAGTATTGATCTGTAGTATTCTTTAAAAACAAATAGCACAGCTAAAAAAGATGCATTCAAAAATGTATTTTTTTGTCCTTTGGAAAAACCTCACATGCCTAGGATTTTAGAAATTTGTCTGTACTTCTCGGCCTAAAACTAAAACCTAACATTTTAATCTTTTTCCTAACATTTTTAATCTTATGTCAGTGACAATGACATACTTTGAACATCAGCTCAGTTGCAGCTCAGTTCATTGTAAGGGTTTAATTTTTATAACGATAGTATAAAGATATATTTAAATATATCATTTTTATTTGTTAAATGTATTTTTTTTTTTACACTTTTCAACTATTTTTGTAAAATTGTTTTACATTTTTATTTTATTTATTTATATCAAGCAGTCATTGTGAATTAATCTCACTATTACTGCTTGATAATTTAATTCATTCATTTTTGGTTATTATTAGGCTGCTTCAAACTTAAGAACAGCCAATAATAACCTTAGTGACACTGACCCTGCAGCATTTCAGGATTAGATGTCACTAAAGACTTCTGATCGTTCCAACAACGATCAGAAGCACGCAACATTGTTTCTGCAAAAGAAGCTAAATGTTTCTATTGCTGAAACGTTAGGAAAAAAAGCCGATATACATTCCCGATCTATACCAGCTGTCAGAGTGACGGCAAGAGCTGTAAATACCGCTCTGCTCTCATTGTCAGACACTCGATTCGTGAAAGGGATCAGGTGTCTGAAAAAGCTGAACTCTTTCATTAATGCCTCAATACTGAGGCATCCATTAATGAATGGTCACCGGCATTACAGAGCCCCGAAAAGCTGATCACGTAGAGTATACGTGACGAGTCATTTGGGCACTTAGTGGCGTGGACGTACAGTGTACGTGTCCCGTCACTAAGGGGTTAAAATAGCCTATTAATCATTAGTCAGACAATCAGTCCCCCCCCCCCCCCCACCCCAAGGGATTCTTCCTCCCTTCTCTTTTCCTCCAGCACTCATTGGAGAGATAAACGGGAGGGGGTGGGCACAGCTGGCTCTAGAGATGCAGAGCAGGCTATCAATCAAGCAGTCAGCTCTGTGGCTCAGCTCCACTCCGTGGCTCAGCAGTAGCCCACTATATGCTGACTTTGGGTCAGAGGAGTACATTTGCAAATGTACTCCTCTGACCCAAAAGAGAAGTAAAGCCAAAAAAAGTTTTTTTTCAATTTGGAAGCTAATTTTAAGGCTATTCTGGACAGATTTTGAATGACCTGTTAGTCAGCCCTGTATGTTTTTCTCTTATTTAAACATCACATGTAATCAGGAAAATAGGGTTCCCATACTAATCAAAAACAACTCTATAATAACAGAGGCTCTGCAGTTACAGCCCATCAATTTGATTTATACTCCCAGTTGCCTTTACAAGCTAGTATGCAAATTGGAAACCTTGAGTTTATATGTGTTTGTGCTTCTTTTATGTGACCTGACAGCATGCAGGTCTATTTGATGTGCCTGTCAGAATCATGCAACATAACAAAGATGACAATGTCAATGCTGGATTGCTTATAAAACTATTACTTAGTTGTGGCATGCTGAGTAGGCAGAGTAGATGGTGCAGACTGTTAAAACATTTTGGCATACATGGATACAGGACAAAGTATAGTGTATTTGCACTGCACACATATTTCCCATAACGTCTTCCAGGACAGCATCACGAGA